AGAAATATCCAGTTCTTTATTTTTACTTTATATTCGATTCGTCATTTATCTTACAACATATTATCTATATATATATTAAGTATGTACCTGCATAAAGGATGAGACTGTACCAAGACTGTACTAAGACTGTACCAAGACTGTACTAAGACTGTACAGAGTACAGACGAGCTGAAAATCTTAAAATATGACTATTCTACAGTAATAACCAGAAAACTGTGGAATAGGAAGACGACTTTAAAGCATTATTTTAGCGTATTTGATGCTTTTACAAAGCAAATAGTTTTTCCAGTATTTTATTAAATTAGTTATTAAGTGAATTGTGTCTGTTTACACTGCACAATTTCGGTGTCTCATGTTCATATTGGACTATTCAAAGTCATAAATTAAGCCTGAAAGTCGTCCTCCTATTCCAGAGTTTTCTGGTTATCACCGTATAGATAAACCAAGTCTTTTGTCTTGAATTTGTCTTTTATTGGACTATTTAATGATCTGGTAAGAAAAGAAACAGGTTTACCGTTTTATGGAAACATAAATATGAGAAAACAGACAGTACAATTCTGTATTATCGTCTCTGAAGTCTCATTCTTTGTGGGTAACCCTGTAAAAGAGATTAAAATGTAAATTCAATGAAACTGGGTCATGTTAGGTATCTAATCATAGATTTATTTTCGTTCTAATTCTGGAGTTTCAGATTGGAATCGGAACACCAAAAACCTATGATATGATACCTCATTGGACTCATTTTAATTAATTCTACATTTGACCTCTGCAGGTCATTTATATTTGAAGGATATATACCTTTAGGAGCATCTATGATCTAAAGGGGTCTCATACTGGAATTGGAACGCCAGAAAACCTATAATTTTATACCGAACATGACTTATTTTCATTGCTTTTATATTTTGTACCTCCAGAGGTCAAAGACCTTTAGGATCATCTTTGTTAAAAAAAGGCCTTATATAATTGAATTAGAACTCCTATAAACTATGATTTGATACCTAACATGACCCATTTTTTACCCCTTTAGAGGGCATTATTATGGAAGGATGTGAAAATGAAAGTCTAATATATGGATATAAGGATATAACGGGCGTGGCTGCTAAAATTTTAAAACACATCTGATAAAACTAAAATAATAAGGTTGATGTCAAAAATTTGATATTTTCTCCTATTTTCTAAGTTTCTACATTTGTGGAGGTCAAAATGGAGGTCAATAAAATTTCTCGACACATATGCTGAAATGCTATGCTCAGGTTCGGCCCAAAACGTTTTAAGGTGAAATTTGCATGATCCTGAGTCCATTTTGCGCGTTTTTGCATTGTTTTACCAAATTATTTTTTTCAAATCTGAATTATTTACTGAAAAAGACGTTTTCAGTTTTCACACAAACTTTTCAACAAACCTATGACAACCCCTATTTATTTTACAATTTTTACCGAGGCATTTGCTTGTGATTTATTAGTGTCTGTTTGCCTGAAAATAATGCCTTTTAATTTGCTGCAAAACTGTTGCAATTTGAATATCCAATTACAAAGATTTATTGTAACAACTACAAACACATTTACAGCTGTCATAGTTCAAGGTCCAAAAAAATATTACGACCCGTCCAATCTTTCCGTAAACTTTTTTTCTCATATATTATCATAAACAGAAAAAAAGACAAAACAGACAAATTTAATGATCGTTAAATAAAAATCCGATTTTTTTTTTGATTTTTACAATTATGAAAGAAGGGAAAACTAAGATTATTTTAAGGTAAGAGTCTATGATTTTTTTGTCAGAATTAAAGAATGTCGCTTCCAAAGTTTTTTTTTTTTTTTATTTTTTTTGAAAAAGTAGAAAATTCTGCAAAATCCTTTTATATTATGTATTGGTTGTTATGTTATTATTATACAGGGTGTCCCACGAAACATGACAGTTGGTGAATAGTTTAAAATGTCTTCTTCCAAAATTTGTTAAGTTTCTTAATGAATAGTAAAAAATATAATAAATATAATATAGCAGTCAAATTATAGTAAAATTGATATCAAATTAAAATATTTTTTTTAACGAAATATGCTGCAAAAAAGTCTTCAATATCTATAAATACAGAATATAGAAGAAGTCATTCAAAACTATTCAACAACTGCCATGTTTTGTGGGACACCCTGTATCTAATATAGTTTATGGAAGAAGACATTTAAAACTATTCACCAGCAACCGTCTTGTTTCGTGGGACACCCTGCACAGACAACAGTAAACTAGACAAGAGGAGACATTGCTGGTCAGACTTTGTGACCTCGTACCTACTCTAGGCTTGATTTTTCTTCACATTGCACAAGTATGCATATATAAGAAATTCAAAACATTTTTTTCGTCGAATGATCATGATAATGATTCAATAAAAAAAGTCATAATTAAATACATGATTTAAATCCGTCGTGCAACTTACTTCAGTTCAACGTGGGATAAAGAAATTTTTAACTATACAGTGTCGAATAATAAAAAAAGTTACAATCAGATCTTGCATATTATATTTTATTTTTATTCCGATGATGAACACTATCGATATTTCAAACCATCTGATCAAAGCTGTAAATATGATTTATTTAACTGTTTAAATTGTTTAGTTGTATAAAGTATGCAATACAGACGAGTGTAACTTGATATATATTTACACTATACAGTGAACACAATGATCCATATATGGATTACCATTTTAATCCTTCCAAGCATAAGGTTGAGATTTTTAGGTTTTCAGGATTTTATTACAGGAACTGTACCGTCATTTCAAGTGTCCGTCATTTATAGAGTGGCATGTCGGATTCACAACGGTACCCTTGATCGCTTTGTCTGATCAAGTATTTATTAGTTATCCATGTTTTTATTGCTCTCCAAAAGTGACTTCCGCGTTTATTGCTTTACAAAAAATTAAAGACGACATTTTTTCACATCACTGATCAGCTTGAGGCTCAAGGGTCACTTGTAATTACGCCTTCTTTCTCTCAAAGAATCTGTTCGGATAGTTTCCAGAGATAATTCAACAAATTACAAGAAAAAAAACTGATATTTTATAATTCTGGTTTTTCTAAGAAATACTTTGAGGATACACTAAACACATGCAGTCTAATGTAAACTCAGAAAGTAAATTTAGCGGATTATTGATGCAATGAACTGCATGAGATTTTACTCTGAGCAAATTTCCACTCGGATTTCGAAAATTTGCTTTCGGTTATTTAGAGTGGATCAAACAAACCTGGAGGAGAAGGTCGAATTCAATTCACAATACTGTTACGGGTTTGTGACTCCGTTGCTCCTATAGTGCTCATTTTACGCACAAGAGAAAAATTAGCAAATTTATTCAGTTGTTCGGTGTTCCTCTAGTTCTGATTTAACGCTTGGTTACGTATTATGAATTTAAACACATTTTTACTCTTCAATAAGAGAAGTTATAAATAAGATAGAAAACCTAAAAGATTTTACTTTAGTAGAACATCGGATATCTTACAATAACTTTATTCTATTACATATTATATCATTTAATAATTAATTAATATTAATCAACTTCTGGGATATGGAACATATTTGAGTTTATCTTTTCACTCTAAGTTGATCTAAAAGTAAAAAAGTGACGGGAAAAAATCATTGATAGAAAGTATTAAAGAAAACCGCGAATTTCCATTTATTTCTAAAGAAATATTATAAAATATTTTTGAATATATAGAAACAATAATAATAATAATGATAATGATAATAATGATAATAATGATTGATATTTAAGTTGCAACTATACCCTGGTGAATGGCCTCCTATTGGCTGGAAAAACAAATCAATCTTCTATCTCCTCCGACCTTGAAATTTCCTCCAACTCCTCCGAAACCTCCTCCATCGAAGAACATGGAAATGACTATATGGTTGGAGGTAATGAGGATGAAGAGTATGATGATTATGAAAATGAGAATGAAGAAGATGTTGAAACTAATAACCTGGATATTTCACCAAAGGTAAATATCAAGTCTGCTGAAAGGGACTGTAAGCGTAATTTCAAGTGATCCTCCATGCAAAGAGGACAATGCCCGATTTACAAACCTTCGACTGTTTATCGAGTAAAGAGAGCTCGGTGTTTAAATCTCTAGAAACCACTTGAATTCCAGTAGAACGTGGTGTACGCTACATACAGTGTGAACTCAACACAGCTTGAGAGTACAGTAAAAACGGTTTCCAATATATTTATTTTCAGCCAATTCTAGAAAGTAAATATTAATATTAATAATAAAATGTTCTACAAATAAAAGTCTTCTTGTAGATTAATGAGAATAACTCCGACAACCTTGACAAACCAAAGGGTTTAAGGGTACCTTTGGGAATCTTGCATTGCCATCTTTGCATGGTGGAAGGTCACTTAAAATTATGCTTACAGTTCCTTTAAAATAAATAAATCCAGAGGTTGAAACTTTTGAACCTTTGTCTTGGGTTTTGTTTTGTTTGACTATTTGTCTAGTCATTAAATCAATGAAACTTAAAGGGGGGAAAAGTTTGCATATTCCGATCCTAATATTCTAATATTTTTCGAAAAATCTTTTAAATGTAAAAAATATAACTTTTTATATTTTAGTTTGCAGGAAAGGGGGAACAACAAATGGCTTTTATCTTTAAGCAAGGAGGTATCTATCAAGACTATCTATCTATCTATCAAGACTATCTATCTATCTATCAAGACTATTTATCTCTATATATCTAGTAGTAATCTCTGTTTGTCTGTGTGTTTGTATGTCCGATCATAAAGTCATGAACCCCTTTTTGCCTCAAATGATGATACTGGTAAACTCGGTAGAACCACGGAAATGTTCTTAACTGATATATTATATACCAGGCTTAAAGGGCGCTTCGCGTCCATGTAACTGGCTCTAATCTTCCAATGGCGGATTTCCAAAATTGGAAAAAAATACTCTGATGCAAAATTTTGACCTGCCATACAATTTTCTTGGGGTCATGTAAGCTACCGCAAAATTTTGACTTTTATTGGATACAAAAAACAAGCTATACTGTATACTGTATATGTTTTTTAAATCTATTTTTTTGCTTTTGTTTTCAAGAATGCAGCAGTTCACTTATACATCGAGATTGGTTGCTGACAGGTAAAAAAAAAATTACAACAAAAAAATAATTACATAATTTAAATAAATCAACTTTTTTTTGCAGCGGCACACTGTTTGGGCTCAGACAGTACCTGTATATAAATATTCAGTACACTGTGCATACATTCTCCAGTACCTGTATATAAATATACAGTACACAGTACATATATTCTCCAGTTCCTGCACATAAACATACATTACACTGTACATATATTTTTTAGTACCTGTATATAAATATACAGTACACAGTACACTGTACATATATTCTCCAGTACCTGTACATAAATTTACAGTACACTGTGCATACATTCTCCAGTACCTGTATATAAAAATACAGTACACTGTGCATACATTCTCCAGTACCTGTACATAAATATACAGTACACTGTGCATACATTCTCCAGTACCTGTACATAAATATACAGTACACTGTGCATACATTCTCCAGTACCTGTACAGAAATATATACAGTACACAGTACATATATTCTCCAGTACCTGCACAATACACTTTACATACATTCTACAGTGCCTGTACAAATACATTCTTTAGTACCTG